TAATAAATTAATACAATATAATAAAATTAAGTAATAAAAATAATACAAATTAATATAAATTAAATACTAGTATTAGTGCAAACTCAGCTTACATTTCTTATTTTTGGTTCTAAATGTTCTTGAACATCACTAAATGTTTTCTTTTTGTTTAATAATTTCTTATTAATAGAATTTAATTTTTTATCATAATGTTCTATTTCATAAATTCTTATAATATATGGTGTTAAAACATTTGTTACTTTAATTATTATTGCTGTAGGAGGTAACATAATAACTGAAATTAAATCATTATTTAATTTAATAAAATAAATAGTACAAAATTTAAGTTAAGCACTACTTTCATCGTTCAAAAATGATAAAATATAATACAGACAATTATAAACAAATATTTTTTGATAATATAAATCGTACAATGAATTGTATACATAAAAGTTAACCTGCATAATAACAATTTTGATTTTTTCTTTTGTTATAATTGCACATATAGTGTTAAAAAATAGAAATTTTTTATTTATACATTATAATATTTACCGTAAAGTAAAAGTTAATTTATTATTAACAAGTACACTTAGTTATACTTTGTTATTAATACGTTGAAAACAATGAATTTAAACCGAATTTAAACAGTCGGTGAAAATAAATACATGTCATCAAAGAAGGTAAAGTGTATTTGAGTACTTGATTTCAAATTTTCATAGTAAGTATTTAATATTAAAATATGTATAATAAAAATTAACGTCAAAAATATAAATTATTAGTGAAATAATTAACTATATCATACTTTATTAATTTTTACAATATATCTCTAACAATTTGGTTAAAGTAGTTAATTTTACTGGCTACAGTTATTATATTATGCTTTTATTATTATTATAAAAGGTATTTTTATGTTTTTAAAATGTTGATGAATATAGAGAGATATTAAACATGTTTTATTCACTTTGTGCTGTAAAAATAATTTCACAAAAGTTCATAAAATAATCTATTGAATATATATGTATAAATATAATATGTATATTAAATTGATAAGCAATATATTCTTACATATCGTTTGTATCGATTTGATTAATACATAATATAAGAAAATATTTCATTTTTGTAGCTAACGGATTTATCAATTAACGATAATTGAAAAAGTAAAGTATACTGACAAAATAAGTCAATTACGATTAAAATATGTCAGCTCTGAAAGCAAAAGGATGTCTTTTTCTAGCTTCTTCTCTTTGTGATGGCTTAGAGGATAATAACATAAAGTAAGAATATACTTTGTTTAAATATTGATATATTTTAATTATTTAGATATATATTATCATAAAGTTAATATTAATGTTATTATTGAATCATTTTAATTCATATTTTTATTAATTTATTTTAATAGACAAGTAACAACATTACTTTTAAATAAAGAAGCAGATCCTAATGTACTAATTCCTACATATGGAGTAACTCCATTTCATTTAGTAATAGGTAATGACTCCGAAGCTTTTGCAGAAGAAGTCACAAAATTATTTTTACGACATGGAGGTAATCCAAATGTCAGGTAAAGAATTAAAATAAAAGTAAGGTAATTAAAGTAAAATTAATTTCATGTTTTAGAAAAATGTAAAGTTATACAATAATTTATTTATGTATAATGTATTATAAATTTATCTAATTTTATAGATCAGTAGATGGATTAACTCCAGTTCATGTAGCAGCAGCATGGGGTAGAGTTACAGTGTTAGAATTACTATTAGCAAATGGTGGTGATCCTCTTTATTTAGATGATGAAGGACGTAGTCCATTTCACTATGCATTTGATGGTAAATATTATAAAGTAATTGTGGTACTTGGAAAATATTGTGATAACATTATAAAGGAAGAAAAAGCAGCAAAGTACAAAATGACTTTTGGTATGTAAAACAAATAAATTAATTTGCACATATTCTACATAATTTATTAAGTACTTAATCAATAAATAAATAAAAAATAAACATTTTTTGTAGAAAAACTTTTGATTAATAGCCAAAATGTGGTAGCAGAATATATTGTCCCAAAAATTTCAGATCTTGCAGAAGAAAATATATTGAATGAAAATATATCTAAAGAACATGTTAAAAATTCCTTGCATTTTAATTACAGTAATATAAATAATGAAAATCAATTTGACTGTGCAGCAGAACTTCAAATTCGTGAAGAAATGGATAAAGAAAAATCTTTAGTTAATGAAATTATTAATCAACTTTCAAATTCCTTAAAATCTAATACTAAAGAAAACAAAATTAATGATGATTATGTACAGTCTAAAAAGAATCTATATAATACAAGTCCATCATCTACAATAAGTACTGATAACAGCATGCCATGTAGTGTGAAAAATAAATTTTCACTAAAAATGAAAGTAAAGAAACGACCTGTTACCCCTAAATATAAACGACAACTGTTTGGTTATAATAATAATATTAAAATTCCATTAATACCTATGCGTGATCCAAATGATTCCATTATAAGCAAATCACCAAATTTTTTAATGAATAAATCAATAGGAAAGGAACAAAAATATTTATCTCCAAAGATATTAAATAAAGACTTAAAATTTGAGACTTTTACACCTAGTATGACAAGAAACCAATCATTTCAATCAGAAGAATTTAATTTAGGAAAAGAAATGGCGAGGTCTACACCAAGGAGAAGAAAACGATTTTATAGGCAATATTCATCGCTTAGGAAACTTAGAAAAAACAATGAAGATACATCTTCAGAAAACACAAGTCCAGATTCAGCAAATTCATTATCACCAAACCATAGTTTAAAAAACTTAAATTATAAATTTAAGAAAAATCTAGCAATAAAATTACATGAAAATAAATATGATGATGATATACCAATAAATTCTAATGAACATGAGAACTATGTTAAAGCAAATACATTAACAAGGAATTTTACAGAAGGACTTAATAATAATTTTAAAAATTTAGATATACAGAAAATAGATTTTAATGAGAAAAATAAACAGCACTTAAAGGAGTATATCTTTAAAAAAAAGTTCTCAGACAAAGAAGTAAAATTAAAGAATAGTAATACTGGAAATAGTTTTAGAGAAAATTTAAGTATCTTTCATTCTAGGTAAGCTTACACATATATACAATATACTTAATATTTTGAGATAGTAAATTAATCGTTCCCGATAGTTTCAAATCTCAATCATACATCAGTGTACAAGAGGATTATAAATATGAAGATGTTGATGAAGGTGTAGCTTTTTTAGAACGCAGAATTTACACCTTACCACCATGGTAAAGTATTAAATGTCCTTTAATCAATAATCAATTGTAATAAGATGTAATTTTTATTTATTTACAGCAAAACTACAGATTGTATTTTACCTGACCAGTTGTGTAAGATATATTAAAACTATTTTATATATATCTATATATAATTTTTCAAATTACAATTTATAATTTTATTCAGGGCCCAAGTCATTAAATTTATCAACAAACATGTATCTAACAGATGAAATGCTACGAAAAGAATTAATTCAGCAGGGTGATAATCCTGGACCAATAACTAATACAACAAGGCAATTATATTTAAAACGCCTTACAAAGCTAAAAAATAAAACACATAATTCGTCATTGTTTCAAATTAATCACTCTAAAACTTTGTTTAAGATGGATCATTATGAATTTCAAATGAAACCATTTCTAATGTATGGAGATTGGATAAATGATTTAGGAAGATACAAAGTCATTGAAAAAAATGCTTTTAAAGAATTTTCCTTAGCAAGTCCTTCTAGGAAATGGAGAGAAGGAATGAGTAAAACTAGTTTTAATTATTTACTCTTAGATCCATGTATAACTAGAGACCTACCTTCTCATGCAGAAAATTTAACAAAATCCACAGTTTGGACTACATTTCTCTCTGCTATATTCTATGTGGGTAAAGGTACACGAAATAGACCATACTCCCATCTTAAAGGTGCTTTTGATGCATGGGTTTCAAATCAAAATTCTGAGAATGCAAAAATCCAACATATTTTAAATATTTGGAATGGTGGATATGGAATTGTATGTCTTCATGTCTTCCAAAACAGTATTGCAGTAGAAGCTTATACACGGGAAGCTGCTATGATTGACGCTCTAGGAATACAAAAATTGAAAAATTACAAAAATGGAGATTATTATGGGATAGCAGCAACATGGAACAATGAAGAAAAATGTAACTTTGGAAGATATTTGTTACACCAAGCAATGCAAATCTTTTTATATGAAGGAGAAAGACAAATATTACCTCAAAATTTATAGAATTTAAATTTTCTTTTTTTTTTTCATAATTGATTTTTATGTATGTATGAAAATGACTAATGTATATGTACATGTACTTGTATATATACATGTATATTTTTACATGTATATTGAGATTAAGAATATTGATATTTAAATAGGTGCAATAAAATGGAAAAAATAATTAAACAAAACGGATATAATAATTATCTAATAAATTTAAATTTATTTAATTTTAATATGATTTTATTGAGTTACTGTATTTAAACATATTTGAGCAATAATTTATTATTATAGATATGGTCTGTCCGGTTCTGTTTTTCTATATCTCGCAATCCGTTTTCTAGGATACCATCTATGTTTTGTAGTATATGTCATTTTACTAAGTTCTTCAACAACAACTTCCTTTCTTTTATGTTTAAATGCCTCGGCAATTTCTTTTTCACCAATACATAAAAAAGAATTTGATACAACTTGTTTCTCTTCTGGTAGTGGTAATGAATACTCATAAAGAAATTCCCGTTTTGGATGCCAACAGATAATCATATCTTTATCTATTGGTATTACAATTTCTGAAGGTAATTTACCAGAACTTAGATATCGTTTACAGGATACATTTAATATGCGAGCAACATTCAATATAGTATTCATCTGTTTGGAAATAAGATAATTAATTAAAACACTTTTACGCAAATTATTTATAAATAACAATACATGTAACAATTAAATATATATTTAGAAATATATATACAAAAATAGATAATTAATATAATATATTTTGGACTAAATGTATTTTTATACTGCCGAAATAACCTTAAAATATGAAATTTCTATAACTAATAAATACTAATAAGTTATAAATCATACTTTAAGTATATTTTAGAATACCGTACAATTATGAAATAAATAATACACCCAAAATAAAATATTTGATAATTCTTCTACTAGAAATTAAATTGACAACTTTCCGAAACATGTATGCAATCATACAAATATATATACAGTGCTGGACAAAAGTATTGGCACAGCATGGTTGTGCGGTACAAGTGCTTATAACTACTAAACAAATTGATTTGAAGGAAAAACTTTTTAGCATATTCATTTGTTATCTATTCTAGTTTTATTACATAGTAGAAGCAATAATATAAATACATTGATTCGCGAAATAATAACAAAAATGTATTTATTGAACATTTTATGGGTGGACAAAAGTATTGGCACACGATGCTAAATGTAATATATCTGCATTTGTTTGAAAAATTTCCCATCGTCATTTCAAAATCTAGTTAGGTGACACGCCGATTGTCATTTTCAACAACAATTATCCTAAACTTCCGTCGTTTAGCAACAGGGAAAGTAAGAAAAAGTAATAATGTCAAGAAAAGCGAAAGAAACGACAAGTGAAGAGGGAAAAATAATACTAAATTTGTATAAAATGCGAAAATCCTACAGCGAAATATCACAAATTGTTAACAAAAGTCGTTTTACTATTAGAAACATTCTAAAACGATTTATAAATCAATCAAATTTTGATAGTGCGAATCGAAGTGGTCATCCTCCCAAGTTATCTGTTAGAGAAAAACGTAAAATTATAAACGAAGTGAAGAAAAATCCTAAATTAAACTCTTCGGAACTCAGAATGATATTAAATAAAGAGTGACAAAAAGAAGTAAGTTCGAAAACTGTGCAAAGGGTATTAAAAACTGCTGGATATTCTGCGTGTATTGTACGAAGAAAGTCATACATATTGGGAAAAAGTCGAAAGATGAGGGTTGAATTTGCCAAAGAATCTATAACGAAGGATTCAACATTTTGGAGCAACATACTGTTTTCAAATGAAAGCAAATTTAACATATTTAAATCAGATGGTAGAATATTAGTTTGGAGGAAGCCAAATACTGAATTGGATCTACGAAATTTACAATCGAGTGTAAAGCATGGAGGTGGTGGAGTTATGGTGTGGGGTTCTATGGCAGCATTTGTGGTTGGCGAATTAATTTTTATAAATGATATTATGGACAAATACACATATTTAAATATATTGAAACAAAATTTATTCAAAAATGCGGAAAAATTAAATCTCCCGCGGAAAATTCTATTTCCAACAAGAACGCGATCCAAAGCACACCGTTTACATCGTACACCATTGGATCATTTATAATGCTTCTCATTCCCTAAATACACCACCCCAGAGTCCAGACATGAATCCTATGGAACATGTCGGGAATGAATTGGAAAAAAAAATTCCGAAACATCGTATAACAAGCAAAGCAGACTTGAAAAATGTTCTTTTACAAGAATAAAATAAAATCGAGCCGGATTTTACAAAAAAGTTAATTGATTCAATGCCCAAATGATTAAACGAAGTTCTTAAAAGGAAAGGAGGGCCAACTAAATATTAATATTTAATTTCAAGTAATTTTTAAAGGTTTTTATTCCAGTGTGCCAACACTTTTGTCCACCCATAAAATGTTCAATAAATGCATTTTTGTTATTGTTTCGTGAACCAATGTATTTAAATTATTGCTTCTACTATGTAATAAACTAGAATAGATAATAAATGAATATGTCAAAAAGTTTTTCCTTCAAATCAATTTGTTTATTAATTATAAGCACTTGTACCACACAACCATGCTGTGCCAATACTTCTGTCCGGCGCTGTATGTATTACTATATTCAGTTATTCAAGAGAGAATAATTCGTTATATATATACACTAAAGGAGGGAAACAATAGTTTTTGCACAACTATATATCATTTTTTTTCAATAACAGCACAACTGATAATTAATTATTTGAATTAATAATAATGCAAATTTCAATAAACTGTAATGTAATAATAAAATAATAATGTAATTATTATACAATTTTATTTAAATATATTTTAAGATAAAAAATATGTTCAATTTTATTATAAAAAATTAATATTTTAGTATTTAATAGTTTATGTATCATAATTGTAATATATAAAAGATACTTCTGTTACCAATTAATAAAATTGTAATTTAGATAATAATAATAAACTACTTATTATTCAAAAGCAATAAATTTCTAATAATAATTATTTTTCTCTTTATGGAATTCTTTTACAAATATTGTAACAACGGAGAATTATCAATCGAAATGAAAATTTTGCTATATGATATTTTTCTATTAAAACTGTAATCTCATTACTAAAATATTCACGCATTATTTGAAAACTTAAGTAATAAATTTAATAAATTTAACCT